AGTTTGGACGGGCGGCCAAGGCACGTGGTTTACACCTCCCGTGTCAAAATATTTGCACACGGCGCGCACACAACACACATCAGCTACAGCAAACATCTACCGTGTCAATAGGAAAGGTTAGTGGTGGTTCGTGAACCGGATGGAACACTAAGGAAGGCCATGTGGGAAGAGAGGGACAAGATGCTACAGACCTATTTTCCAAAGGAAGGCCGCAAGGTGTTCGCACCGTCAATGCTTACACGCCCCGACCTACTGGAGGACGTGCTGCAGAAGCAGAAGTATGAGTTCATACTGGACCTCGCTTGCGTTCAGTATGAGCCTGATAACCCCGAGTATCACAGGGTAAGCGAACTCACTTCAGCGTACAGACATATAGGTGGTGATTATGAGTAATGTTGCCTACCACAGATAAAAACCAATATATCTCAACTGATCTTATTATAATTATATGACTAGCAGATGCCGGTTCTTGCAAATGGTTGAGACCCTGTCACATGTCCACGGCTAACTCATTGTATACACCTGTATATGCATGCAAAAGTCATTGGAATCATTGATTGACTAATTTGATTGATTGTGTGAGCTATTTTCAGCCAATCAGCACATGCCAAATCTTGGTTTTACCTTGTTCTTCAAACAATGGTCGATATTGATTCCTGCATGTTGATAGACTCATGGATTGATCTTGCCCAAAAGCAATAATTGTACAATTGCTTTTATTTCTGCTGATTCTCTCTTCGGTTTAGGTTGTGTACAGAACCTATACCCACGTTGACCAGACCAAAAATTATGAGATTTTGCGGTCGACTAGACATTTTGGCTGCCTTGTCTTCTATTTAACGCTTCACAAGAAAGTGGACAATCTCTTGATTGATATGATCCAGAGAGACTAGTAAGTATGATGAGACCAGTTATTGTTTCTTCAATTTGATTTACCGATAATGATTTTTTTTCTGAATGAAAAAAGAAATTTAATAGCCCCCATGTCGACAAACCCCTGAAACTACCCAAAGCATTACACGATGCAGGGCCGGATCTAGATACAATAATGTAACCCAAATCGAGGATAGGGTTACAACGCGAGCGTATGGTTTTCTGTGGAGGAAGTTCAGGGAATGGGAAATCACTCACGGTTCATCACTTCAAATTTTTGTAACAGGTTATATTAGTTTAATACAGAG